GTATAATAATATTTATAATTCTACAATTTTAATTGGCCCATATAAAAGACTTCAACTCTCTTTTATTGCTCAGGCTAGGGTTGGTATTTTTTGACCGAAAACTACAAATCGAACCGAACCGAACCAATGAGAAAATAAACCGAATCGAACCGACATATGTGTAACGGTAACTGAAAATCGGTTACCGAAATGTTATACGGTATCGGTTCTTCCATTATGTCATGTATTTTGCTACTTCTCAACTAATTTTCTGGTTTTGTCCCTGGCCGCCAGAAGGAACGAAATTAGGGAGCACGGAGCCCTAGCCTCAAGCTGAAAGTCATGCCCAACCAGCGTCCTAAGCTCGTGCCCCATCCACGAACTGAATACGGAAGAAATCCTCTCAGCTTCAGCGACCACGAGTCGCTTGAGGAACACCCTAACCGGAGACAGCTTGGTGATGGCCGGCGACGTAATTGAGAGGCGCCACCGCCTGGAGTGAGGGCCCTGCTCTTCCTCGATTAGAGTTTCCCGAATTAGGGAAAAACGAGGAAAAGTAGTTGGGAGAGAGAATTCACAATCTTTGAAAATATTCACACTTCTTCGATACTTTATAAAAGTTTTTGTCCTATCCTTCAAGTTGGTCAAAACTTTTTGTCCTATCCCTTATCATGGAAGTTAATCTCACAAGTGATTAGTGACCGGATAATTAGGTCCGAAATTTATGGTGCGTTAAGCGCTGCAAGTGATGCACCATGCAAAATACTTCAACAATTAGATTGAAATGACAAGTGATATAAAATAAAATAAAAAGAAAAAAAGGAGATGTTTTGGATAGATAGATAGAGATGGTGGATCATTTGTGGGTTTGACAAAGTAAGACGTGACTAAAACAGGTGGCCAAGTTGTACTTCCACTAAAAGACCTGTACAATTGCACACCATCGGGAAACAAGAAATTCAACAAAATTATGTGCAGGCGTAGGTGGCCACTCCAAGTCCATGCTAAACTAATCTACTCAATTCCCTAATTGAAAAGACTTCGGATGCGTTTGTTATCTCAGTTGATTTTTAAAATCTAACTAATTTTTTTTTTAGTACAAAAATTTAACTAAATTTTAACTCAACTTAACAATTATCAATATTATTAATACAATTAAATAATATCAATTCATCAATCTTAAAGATCATACCAATTTTAATTCACTATTTATCCACTCATATAATTTTAAAATATAATAATAAGACTAGGTTAATAGCCTTAAATTGTCCACCTTGTACATCGTACGAGTTCTGCACTAGTATTAATAGAGGAGCCTACATGTATAACTTCAACAATCAACTAAACTTAACCATAACTTCTAAAACAAATAAGATATACTGTATAATCTACTAAAAAACGATAACTTCATAATTGCAAACATTCAAAGTCTCTCAATATTCGGTATTACTCGGTATTTTAGGAATTTATGTTGAGATTAATATAACTAAAATCACTATTTGAACAGAAGAACCTCAAAATATAACTCATTATTGCATGTTTATATTTGTATCTATTGTATAGCTACAAATTAGGTGACAAAAAACTACATTTCTCACCTTAAATTGAACACCAATATCACTTCAAAAATGTACTCAATTAACTCCACTAATAATGCTAAACCACCGTTCTTATTGACGTAGTTTCTCAACGATTATGATTCTGCATATCCATCCACGATCCAATGATAAGAAAGTGTCCATTTACATTTCACATCGAGTGTCCCACATTCAATAATTGAATATCTGAGTTAGTGGAATAAGGTTAAGTTATGATTGGACATTGGTGGAACAGATCAACTGTGTAATGAACTCTAGAGTTCTCAGATTATAATTTCGCGTGAGTAATCAATTTAATAAAATTTAAGGGATTTTTTTACCCCAACAAAAATAAAAACCATTAACTAGACAAAATAAAAAAAAAATATGGACAAAAATCAAAAACTCGTATTCTGAGAATACGTTTTATATTGCAAATATAACTTTAACGGATTACGAGAATACGTTTTTTTTTTTTTAAAATTTAATTAAAAGACGTATTTTGAGAATACGGGCTTTTGAGTTTTGTCCAGATTTTTTTTTTATTTTTTTCCACTTGATTTTTTGTTTTTTATATATATAAATTACCCTTAATTTAAGATTGCCAATTAATTCCAGAAAACTCAACAAAAAAATTAAATATAATATTTATTATAAATGAATTATGTGATTAGTAATTACTCAAATAATTTTGCAAGAATCAATTAAATAAAATTTAAGATTACCCATTAATTCCAAGTGAATTCAAAAAAATTAAACATATTATTTATTATAAATGACTTATGTAATTAGTAATTACTTAATAGAAATATAATAAGAGAACTGTTCATCTAAATTATAATATATTCCAAATGAAATTATAGAAAAAAACAAATGTATAATTTGTTGTACAACTGATTATCTAAATTCTTACATCAAATGAATTTTAAATATATATATATATATATATATATATTATTTGTTGTAACTTATGTAATTAATAATCACTTGACAAAAATCAACTAAGACAACTATTCATATAAATTCTGATACAATGGGTTTGTGGGAATTAACTTGGGCTGTGAACCTTGTGATAGAAACATGACTGTAAGCCCAATTCACTGAAAAAACGCGAATTCCAAATGGACAAACCAATATAAACACAAAGTCATCTAAAAATATACTTGGATTCAATAAAACCAACCTAGTTTTTATGTTGGAACGTCCAAAGGTTGGGGAACCTTTAGTACGTCAAATTCTCTTAGGGCCCTTGTCCGGTCCCTATCCCCCGACTTAGTTTTTCTGTCTGAAACTAAGTTGTTCGGCGCAAAGACAGAGCAAATTCGTAACTTATTACAACTACATGGGAATTTCGTGGTCGATAGTATCGGTTCGAGTGCGGTTTAATATTGTTTTGGTCTGGTAAGTGGAAAGTTGAGATTAAATCGTATTGTTTTGGACATATTGACGCTCTGGTCAAAGATTCGATGGGTAAAAGATGGAGGTTCACGGGGTTTTACGGGGATCCGAAGAGGGGTGAGAGACATCACAATTGGGACCTCCTTCATCGATTACATTCATTGGCAGACGGTCCCTGGATTTGTGGAGGTGACTTTAACGAGACGCTCACTCTTTCGGACAGTACTAGGAGCTCCTCCCGTGCTCAAGGTGCTTCCCGTTCATTCTAGGAAACCTTGCTTGATTGCAATCTCTCGAACTTTCGGTTTCGGGGAAATCGCTTCACTTGGAACTATAAGAGAAAAAGGATTGATAATATCCAAGCTCGTCTAGATCATTTTTTGCGAAATCAGGTATATGCGGATTAGTTTCCAGGGGCGTGGGTCGAACATCTCCACTTAGGTCCTCGGATCACCGCCCGATCGGTTTACATTTCGAGAATTCGAGTATGGCTATCCATTATAGGGGCAGAAGTTTTTTAAGTTCGAACCATTTTGGGCTTCAGGAAGATCAATACCAGGAGATAATTAATAACGGTTGGGCGGTGTATTAGGAGTCAAATCGAACACAGACCGTTTGAACATGTTTGTGTGAAGCTTCTTCACTAAAAATCGCCTGATTTCATGGAGTAAGGTGTCTTTCAGGAACTGGAGGAAAGAGCTAAAATCAAAAGAAACTATTTTCCAACAACTACTTGATTCCCCGCAGTCAGAATTACATATGAAGGTGATTAAATTTCATGAAAATGAAAGTCTGCGACTAAATATTCGAGAGGAGAAATTCTGGAAAAAAAAAAAGCACAGGTCGACTGGATAAAGGAAAGGGATCGCAATACCAGGTTTTTCCATGCCAGAGCCAAAAATAAATCTAACAATAATCGCATTAAGAGTTTAAGGGTGAACCGGAATTGTTTGCTCACTGATGCATCAGAAATTAGCCAACACGTGTTGGATTATTTCTCTAATCTTTTCTCTAGTCGAGAATCTTCTTTGGAGATTATTGCATGAATCACTAATATGGTGGAGGGCAACATTTCAGCTGAGATTTATTCTATGCTCGACGCTCCTTTTTCGAATGACAAGGTTGAAAATGCTCTGATGAGCATTGGTCCGTACAAGGCTCCAGGAAAAGATGGTTTTCATGCCATTTTATTTCAAAACCACTGAGCGCTCCTAAAAATTGATATCCTCAATGCATGTTTGAAAGTTTTAAATGAAGGGCAATCAATTCAGAAGGTGAACGACACTGTCATTGTGCTTATTCCAAAAAGGAACCATCTTGAATATATCACAAATTTTTGTTCTATCAGCCTTTGCTCAGTTCTGTACAAAATAATCTCTAAATCAATAGCTAACAGACTGAAAAACATTATAGGGCACAAGATATCTGAGAATCAAAGCGCTTTTATTCCAAGTCGGTCCATTACAGATAATGCTATTCTTCCTTTTGAGCTCCTCATTCTATGTCCAGGACTCACGGAGGGAGAACGAATTGGATAGAGCGTTAAAGCTTGACATGAGCAAAGCCTATGATAGGGTCGAATGAAGTTTTGTCGTGTTGGATTCTATGAGGAACGTCGGCAATGTGCACATTCAAATCTATTGAGTAATAAATCCTAACGCAGCTGAATCTATAGTGTGCACAATCAAATCTATTGAATAATAAATCATAACGCAGCTGAATCTATAGTTAGGATCAGGACTTACGGTTTAAAAATTTTGTTGACTTTGAGACGTTTCTGATTTCCTTTGTAGGAGATCGTCTAAACCGTAGAGTCTGTTGGACAGCCAACTTAGCCTCATCAACGCGTTTCGGTAGCTTCTCGGGCTCGTCGGGTTGTCTTGGACCTCCGGTAGGTGAATGAGACTCCTCGGACCACTCGGAAACCGCCTTGGGCACGAACCTGGCTTACTGGGTCGGGCTGAACTGGGTCGGACCGGGTCTGGTCAGGTCTGGGCCGGACTGGGCTGGTTCAGGCCGGATCTGACACTAGAAGGTCGGGTTGGGTCACCGCGTGAACGCAGGATGCGCGAGGGCTTCGCAGATCCTGCTCGGGTTGTCTGGCTGCTCGCGAGTCACGCAGGGGCGCTGCGAGTGATGCGCGAGGAGTTCGCTGGTCATGTACAGAACCCGGGGCGCGCGATGAACACGGGCGTGGCATGGCTGCGCTGGGTTGCGCCGAGGGCATGCGAGGCCGTGTGCGGGCAGTGTTGTGGCGGTGCGTGGGGTTCCATCACCGGCACGTCCGGCGGCGGCTGGTCGTCTGGAATACTCTGGGGAGCTTTTCTTCCTCCGGTGGTCGTCCTCTCCTGTTTTGGTGGCCATCGGAGGTGCTGCGGGGTTGAATATATCCGATGGGATGAACGTATGTATATATTCGATGAGATCCGCATTAATAACCTCCGAATCTTCTATTGTATGACCTTACATGATCTTCAATTAATCTTGGTGGAGAGATTTATTGGATTTCTCAAAGCCTCTCGATCTTCTTTTTCTAAGACCTCTTGATTTTATCCGAATTTCTCTCAAAGAAGGAACTCTATTTTTCTCACATATTTTAGGCGTGTAGATCAGCCATATTAATTGTGAAAAAACGTGTGACTCAATCATCTCATGAGGCTAGGAAACTTAGTGTATTTATAGGCTACAATAGGGACCCCAAGGAGGTGCTAAATATGGGCTTATCCCATTAGGTTTAGGAATCCTAATTATTTTCCATATCCTTTCCCATTTAGGATAATATTCTTCCTAACCTAATTACTTTCTAGAAGACTCCATAGTCTTCTAACCCTAAGTAATATTCTAGAAGGAATATTCTTATCCTTAGTGAATCTAAATTATGGAATACAATTAATTCTCAATTTCTAAAAAGAATTAAATAATAAAACATTCCACTAGAGTAATATTATTGTTCTCCCCATTTAGCTCCAAATTATAACTAATTCGTCTCCAATTAATAAATTAATATTAATTTAATTAATCGATTTATCTCCCTATGTTTAAGATATAATGTCCATTGATTAATTAAATCTCTGACAAAATAATTAATCAACTTCTTATCGTTTCCGAAACTAGTACCACCCAGATCCTTAATCATTATGCTGGATACACATCCGCCTGCAGAGCTTGACATAATATTCTTTCCTGAGCTCATTTCGGGGACGCCATCAACCCAGCACACTGAGACATAGTGACCATAAATAATTTATAACAGCACATCATGTAAACACCCCCATTTACCAAAATATCAAGTATGTCATCCTAACAGAATAAGAATCACCCATGGTAAATCAAATAAACAAGTGATGAATATATATGCTCGTTTTATATTATCTTACGGCTTAAGAGTACGGATCAATTACTGAAGGTCTAGATTATATCTACTATATAAATATATAGATATAGTTTAATCTCTTTCTATATTACTTGTTCTATTTATTGATTGAAGGATCACACACTTAAAGGAACAAATAAGAAGTTGATCGTGAGCCAAATGATATAAGGAATTGATCGTGATTAAAAGATCTCGACCTTAACATATAGAAGACCGTGTCCAAATCATGAAAAAGTCAATTGGGAAGGAAATCAACTCCACAACGAAGGAAGTCACTACGTGGGAATGTGAAGGATCCTTACCTTTGAGGAGTTTGTATATATGCTTGATCGAAGACTCAAAGAAAGGTTGCAACAACTATCGACTTCATTAATTCCAATTTCATTGAGTGTTTGTTAGATTTTTAGTTTTACATTTGTTTACAGTGATTCAGTGTGTGTTCTTACATCACTGAAGAACTAACTTTGTTTTTTATTCACAAACACTTTGAGTGGGGATTAAGTGATTTTGTAGCTGAGAAGGATCCATAGCTAATCTGCAGTCCACATGTTCTGGTCAGGGAAGTAAATGATATAATCCGGTGTAATGTTGGTTAGATTAGGAAGGAGTTCTATTCTCATAATTCCAAGTTGTATGTTGTGCGCAAATCGATCTATTAATAAAAGAGCTATGAGGGTAGTGGGACACTCCCGGAAGACGTTTTTATCTAAAACTTTGCTTCTGCTTTTAATTTTTGTGTTTAAACACACATTACGTACTCTATTTACTCCCCCACTATGTTTAACCAATGATTGATTTTCCAGTTAAAAAAAAATATTAAGGACAAGTTTTGAATTAAATTGGACTATATCATGGAGAATTAGTTATGCTAATTTCTCTTTATTCGTTAGATGAAATATTCGAAATTCTCATCCCAAGTTTCCTTTGTTTTTTTTTTCGAACGACAAAATTAATATGTTAACCTCAAATAGAGAACAATTGGTAATCAAATAGTTACAAAGATCATTTTAACTATCAAGTGACAGAAAGAAACAAACCAAGAGGAGTCACTTTAACATAAAGTTCTCCCTTTACAGAGAACAACACTGAAAAAACTTTCAAACAAGGGAGACAAAAAATCCATAAAGGAGACTAAAAAGCTCTACAAAGGGAGACTAACAAACAAAAAACAGCTAACACAACAAGAAACAACAAATTAGTAAAAAAAACTAAATAATCTAATACAAGGATCATTTAAAAGGAAAATCTTCAATTTCGATACTCCTCAATTGTTTTTGTTTCAAAAAACATTGTATAAGATTGTCTAACCATTAGGCCGGTAGCAGGGGCGGACCCACAGGAGGGTCAGCAGGGGCACGTGCCCCTGTGCCCTGAGAACTTTTATATATATTATATATATATATATATATATATGGAGGATTTTTGACATCTTCGCACTGTATGGGTCAAAGCAAAATTTGTGGGAATTTGGTGGAAACGTAATAACCAAGGAGAAAAGGGCAATAATTGAGGGGCAACAGCGTAAAGGTAGTGGCAAATGCGTAAAAAAAGTGGCAAAACGCAGGCCCTTTAAAACGGACAAAACATGACGCGTGTTAGCCCCACAAAGCCTCTCATCCTTGCTTTATATGTATTGGAGAGAATACGTAAAATGTGTATATATTTTTTAATTATATTAAATTGTGGGCCCTCAATACAACTTTACAAAGTTAATTTTTTTTCTCCCACTCTCAACAAAATTATGCTCCTACACATTTCTCATTTCCTCTTCTTTTATTTTCTCTCTCAGTCACCTCGCAGAGCTTCAAATTTTCGGTGCAATTAACAAGAAAAAAAAAATGAAATTTTTTTTTTGCAATAATCGAAGTGTTTTGAACTTCTTCTTCCTTAGTTAGCTATCAATTTTTATTTCAAAAGGTATGCTTTATTTAATTATTTTCTAGTTTTTATAACCCTACATTTGTATTTGAGAATGTTTAAAATTGATGTAATTTTTAATTTAGGGCTTGTGTGAAAAATTGTTTGCGCAACCGGATTGAGGATCAATTGTTGAGTGATAGTCTGATTGCATATATTTGAGAAAGATGTATTTGATAAAATTGAAAATGATGTAATTACTGAACGCTATCAGAATATGAGAACACGTAGAGAACAATTGTAATATAACGTTTGTTAGGTTTTTGGTTCTTCTATGATTATATTGTGCCCCTTACTTTTAATTGTCTGCGTCCGCCCCTGGCCGGTAGACTCATCATATATTTTTTTACAAAAATATATGTTTTTTATATAAAAATGACGGGTGATTTATTTATATAAAATAAAAAAAAAAATCTGTGGCAAAAAATAAAAAGAAAAAAAATGTTGTGGAAATTTATCAAACGCCCGGATTTTCAAAATCCGTTTTTCAAAAAAAATATTTTATTAAAAAATGGATTTTCGTAATCCGTGTTTAATTTTTTATTAAAAAAAATAAAAAAATAAAAAAAAAATAAAAAAAATTAAAAAAATAAAAAAAATTCCACAATTCGTGTTTAGTTTTTATTTTAATTTTTTTTTTTAAAAAGTCGAATTTTAAAAAAATATATATATTTAAAACAGATACACGAATTTCAAAATTTCGTTTTTAATAAAAAAAAATTAAAAACAGATAAAACAAAATTAGTACAATTGAAGTCAAATTAGCACAATCTCGGTCAATTATAGGGTAATCGAACTCGAATTAGTCCAATTGAAGTCAAATTAGTACAATCTCGATCAAT